TTTTTTTTTTTTTTGAGAACAGGTCTTGTTGGCCTTGGCCTTGTGGCTATGCTCCTGCCCCAGCCTCCCAAGTCCTGGGATCACAGGCGTGCATCACCATGTCTGGCCTACATTTTCTCTTTTCTGTGCCCATAAAAGTAACTTTATTCTGTTAAAGTCCATTAACACACGGAACTAATCTGACACTGCCTCTTTCCAGCTTGGGTGTTTTTTTTTTTTTTAGAGAAACTCTGAGCTAGAGGAAGGAGAGAGCTACCTTCTAAAGGGGGAGATTTGGAGAAGTGTTAGTTCTGGTGGGAACTTGCTGGGTGCCTGAATGACACCTTTCCCTTCTCCAGGAGCTGAGGGAGAGCCCCCTGTGGGAGTCCAGGAGCACACCTGCCACTAGGAACTCCCTGTGAGTATTTCTAAGTCTCTTGTCAAGAATCTATGGGTTTGCAACCTGATGAGGAAGAAAGGGTTAATTTGGTCAGAAAAGGAAGAAAAAGGGTGTGTCAAATGAATATATTCTTCTTTTATTAGCAAGAATGAAAAAAATTTATTCTCCAATTTTCTAGTTTCTGGGAACAAGATCTCACCCAAGTGCTTTTTAAGAATACTGTAACAAAACATGTACTCCGACAGCAAATTAAACATTTGCCTTTTCAGTGTGAAAAGAACACACATTGAAATAGCGATCCTCCTATCTTTTCAGACAGGTAAGACTGAATTTGCTTCAAGAAGTAGAAATTAATCTGTCTTACCTAAAGAAAAGGATTTAAGACCTGATTATATTCTTTAGATTTACAAACAGTTCTTTCTTCCACGTTTTTTCCTTTTTGTGTATGAAGATGTTATTTTTTAGCTTTGGTTTTTCAGCAACATCCTGATTGTCACAGAAGTAGCCGTGAGAAAGACTGAGACGGAGTGAGGTGCAGAGAACTCACTTGACTGTAGAGTAGAATTGAGTGTCCTCCGGAGAGGAATAAAATTTGAAAACCAACCAAGCAAAGATGATTCTGTTTTATTTTTATTCTCCTTAAGAAACACGGGCAGGCCCTGAACTCTTGGGCTCAAGTGATACTCCTGCCTCAGTCTCTCGTGTCGCTGACAACAGGCATATGCCATGTTCTCCAGCTGAAGATTTCATTTTGCTTGTACTATTCTCTGTACTTTACTAGTTGCACCATCAAATTAATATCCATACAGCCACAGAATTAGACACTCTCTAATCTGCTGAAAGGCCCGTTGACACGGAGAAGGTGGGAGGCAACTTTCGATGTGTGTGTAGGCAGCTGTTGCTGAGATGGCCTTTCTCAAAGCTGTCATCCTGGTCTCCAAGCGAGCCTGCTTCCAGATTTAAAGGACACACGGCCTTCTTCTCCCAGAGGTTCGGTAGTTTGTGCTCATGCAGAGTAGTGGGTTATTGCAGCATGAAATTAAACAATAATTGTAATTGTACTTTCTTCCCCAAGGACCTTAAATACTGGAGATATTCTTTGAATGCATTTATTCAGACTTGCCTGTGGCCACTTGTGCACTTGAGCAGGGCAAGTGACAATTTAAATAGAGCTAATTTCAGCCTGTGAGCATTTAGGGGCCACGTGGGCTAATGAAACTGATTTGTAGGCTTGTCCGAAGACATTCACAGACTCATTTGTAGGCATCTGCTTTGCATAGTTCAGGAACCCGTTAGTTTAATTGATCAAGAACAACACAAACACAGTTAAATCTTATATATGTTGTGTGATCACATAGCTAATTAAAAAACACAGCTACTTTCCAGTTAGCTTACGGCATATACAGTAAGTGACTTACATGTGTATTTGGTGTTCATTTCTGTATAAAAATAATTGTAGATTGATAAAAATAAGGACAAGATGCGACTGGTATTTCATACATGTACATGCCTTTAGGTTAAGTATGGTTTCTTTTCTTCTATCATTGAAAGATTTAAAAGCAAGATTATCTAAGCAATTTTACTTTTTCCTTACAGGCTGGGAAGTTCAAATGGAGTAGACAGTAAGTTTTGATATTTCTACATTTTGTTTTGCTTTTCATTTTATTAATGATGATGTTCACTACCTTGCTAAGGCCTTCATAGTTCTTGCACTTGTATTGCTGATTTTTGTCTACTCTACAAAGTAGAAAATTCAGTAGGTATTTTCACCAGATAAAACAGTACTGACTTGTGGTTTAAAGTTTTTTGAAGTATCCATTTTTGACTATGTTTTTTTCCATTGTCTGTCTGAATGAGGGTATAACCACCAAGATCATTTCAGCCGCGTAACAATTCTTACTGTAACATTTTACATATTGCTCACTAGGAGACATTCAGAAGACTGCAGTGTGTGCATGCCTTGCCCTCTATGGTGTCCATAGGACAAATATGCCCAAATTGACTAAGAGGGCACAGACCAATGACTGGCACATGGCAGGTGCTTAATAAATATGGGTTGAGTAAATACAGCTCCTTAAGTAGCAAAGCCAGGACTGAAACTCAGCTTCATCAAAGTGAGGTGCTCATATCCTTTAAGCATTTCACACTCTTTGTCTAGAAGGGTCCTACATTCCAGGTGGGATTAGTGTGTCCCATAAATCTCCACATACACCTCTCGTATATTATTTAACAATCTGTGTTATTATAGTTCGTGTCTTTTTCTCTAATATATTTATTGCCTTTGCCTTTTTCTAGGGTGGAAACCTCATCTGATGCACATTTCTCATGCATTGCATGACCTAAATAAAGCAGGAGGTGTGTGTGTGTGCGCGTGTGTGCGCTCGCGCATATAGAATGCGTAATTGAATGATTATGAAAGGAATTCAGAAAGGGAGAGTCTTTTCTGCTGATCATACTTTTTTCCATGTACCTCAAATGGCAGTGGTATTTGATCCTTTCTGGATCTAGTACCAAGAAGCCAGAGAGATTTCTGAAACTGGGCTCATTTTGCTGCTTATCCTTCTAGGTATAAAGTAGTTGCCACCATGAGACTAAAGTTTCTCCACTTTAATTTTGATCTCATGAAATGGCAAAACTGTTGCAAAGCATTTCTCTGGAGCCTTGTAATTTGGCACGAGAGCAGATGGAAGAGAAGGAGTTAAACTTGGAGGGAGGTGTTCCTGTCACTGTCCTTGTGTAGCCAAGCAAATCTCTTGGTACCGTGTTATCCACCCCTTCCTTTGTTTCTTTGATGCACCTCGTAATGCATTTTGATCATTTTACTGTTATTTTAGGTCAGTGAAGTAGTCTGCTAATAACTTGGCATTAGCAATGCAATGCCCTTCTGTGGGTACTGCATCTTGGTCGGGAGCTCGGAGGTCCATGCTTCTGAGATGTCATGAAGTGTGATGGGTGGCTGAGTGCCTTCTGCAAGCCAGAGGTGTAATTGGTTCTGAGGAAATACATCTTGGAGGCTAATATTACCTGTCTTTCTCCAATTCCCTATATAAATATGTTTGGAGATATTACATTGATGATTGGAAGCTGTCAGGATACCCTGCACAATAATATGGTTAAAGAATATTAGGCAAGCTTTTTCAAATACCGAGGAGCCATTCTGATTAACCTGTTCAATAATAACTTTGAAGGCAATATATTCATAAGCATGTATTTATCTCCAGCCAAATAATTAAAATGTCAATCTTCTCTATAATTTCAGGGATCTCAGCATCCTTAAAAAGCCCTCAAGAGCCTCATCACCACTATTCAGGTAGGAAGCTTGTGTACACAGACAGGTCAGCTGAGCTAGATGTCTGTGCTCCTGCATTTGTGAGCAGAAACATCGGTAAAACCCATGTTCTTGATATGGCTCCCGACTTGGAAAATTGTTCACTCTCGTGGGAAGAACATTTAGAGTTCTCATCTTGACAATATCCCCAGAAAGACAGTTGTCAGGATTTGTGAGTGTTTGGATTTAAACAAAAAAGTGTTTTGGCAAGTTCTAAATTGTGAAGAAGGATGGACCTTGAGTCCTAAAAGTTCCTTGCAAGTTCTGAGTCAGAGGTCTTAAGTGTTTGAACTGAGAAAAAGACAGACGCCCAAAAGTAGTTGTTTAAGGGAAGGTTCTGTATCCCCTGTGGGCCCGCAATGAACACAACACTGATTAGATGCTAGCCCCGAAGAACAAGTTCAGCAAAGATGTTATTAAACGAAGATGTCAAGGGCCTTGACTCTCTTAAGCAACATCACTTCACAGTGCTTCAGTTGTCTTTCTTTCAGAGAGGGAGTAATTGTACTTGCCCTTCCTGAGAAGCAGTCTGCCAAAGGACTAGTTGAGAATTAAGAAGAAAACACTTTGAAATGCAAAGCAATATTACAACCAACTGGATGTGTGCCAGGAGGTGGTTTCTTGGGAGTTGTTGCTCTCAGCATCGGAGGAGATAATACATGGGCAAGTCTTTTAAAGAGTCTAAAGCTTGGGACATAAGTAAGACCTTATTGGTGAGCTATTACTGTCCATAACATATCAGGGTCATTTGTTTAGTGTCCAATAATAAGCTGCTTTATCCTGAATTCTTCCCAATAGTGAATAATATTTCAGTGGATTCCAGACTTCTCCTGCCAGGCGCTTATTACTGAGTCTTTCAGCTTGGCAGTAATCTATTATTTTGATTCCAGGTGTCAGCTTAAGAAAGATTCTAGTGAGGTCTACTGTAACTCATACTGACTCTGATCTGTTAGGATATTGCCCTCAACAGGAAAATGCAGATCGCTTGCTCCTAATTAAAATTAGTCTTCCATTCTCTCTGGGAAAAAAAAGAAGTGAACAGTAGGTGTCCCCACAGTCCACGGTGCTTTGGAAAAAGAAAGGCAGAGGATGAAGACTGTGGATTAAAATGCCATTTAAAGGAAACTTCCACACACACACAAAAGTTGGTATTGAGGAGAGTTGGAGGAGACAGTCCTTAAACGCTTACAAAATATTTCTAACTTCGGGATATCCTTCTGGTTTAAAGCACAGTTTATAATTAAAACTGTATAATGGATGATGATAATGTTTTTTGGTATTGACAAAAATAAAAGGTATTTGAAATAAAATATTTTGGTATTATATAAATATACTGAGGCGAGGCATTTCTGTAGATTCAACCCAGTGATGCAGACTTAAAATAATAATCTGTTTTTGTTTGCAGCCATTGAAAGGAATAATTTAATGAGGCTTTCTCAGACCATACCATTTATGCCAATCCAACTGTTTGGTGAGTAGATTTTTCTACCTTCTTGAGGTTATGCCAGGGTGGAGAGGGGGGTGGTGACATTTGATGAAATCAAAGGAGAAACCACGTTGCATCATTTCACTTGAAAATTTCATGTTGACCATGGTTATAGCTTCGTGAGATTCATTTCCTAAAAAGGAAACCTGTTAATGCTATGGCCAGCATTTGGGGTCAAAGCTTGGTACTGTAGAAATGGGAGGTTTAACAAGAAACCTTTGGGAAGAAAGCAGTAGTGCTGCATCTGGTATTCACTGCCTGGAGGCTGCAAGTGCATAAGAAGGAAAACAACACACCAGCCACATATAGGACAAACAGAACAAAGTGCTAGCCCCCGCTGTGGTGAAAGCCAAAGAGCATCTGAAGAGAAGGGCTTTGTATATTGCCTTTTATTTGTTTTGTTTCACATACACTAATTGCTCTTACTTCAGACTGTAAGTGTTGTTTTTTTTTTAAAGGTTGGAATAGAAAAAAAAAAAGAACAGTTTGCATTAGCCAAGGCTACAAGAGTTTCTCCATTCAACGGGATAAAACTTGAGCCAACTGACAATATAACAAGGGTCCCTACGCTGCCCTTGATCTCATTTCTCCTCACACTGTTCAGAGGGAGACCAGGTTGGCTTCTGATTGTTAATGCAGATGCCTCCCCTTCCACTTGGCTTAGCAGTGGGTTTTGCAAATCAATAGCGCTGCTCTAAATCCTCCAGGGACCAGAACTCCAAAGAGACCTTCAGTGGCAACATTTATCTTGGGTAGTAAGAATGAATATTTGAAAATATGTTACTCAGCATTCCCTAGATGTGTTTGTCGATGAGGAATTAGATATCGGAGTGAGGGAATAGGTTCCTTTCTTGGTAAATCAGTACAGTATTCCCAGTAACAGCAACAAAGCAAGCAAACAAACAACAAACTTTGAAGCAAAGGTGAAGAGAGACAATGACACAACTTGGGTAGAGGCTTTGTACAGATCGTTAGTTCTGTTATGAAGCATTAACACTCATACTGATGGAGTCCACTTTGATAAATAGTCCTCGCAGTCCAGTAGCCTAAAAGTGGAGGTGCAGAGCAATTAAGTGACATTTTGTGTCCAAAATCTTTTCAGTGGGATTGAGTTTGTATCTGAGTTCTAGTTCATTTTAGCCAAGGTTAAATACTTAATCTCTGCCACAGCCTAATGAAATGAATATCATCGTCATTTTCATTTTACTAATGAGGAAGTTGAGGATTTAAGTAATTAAGCCAAAACCATAAGGAAGGAGGAACTGTGGGCTATGACATTGATACTGTCTGACTCCAACTTCATACTAAAACCATGCATTCTCAGTGGGGCAGGATCACACCCAAAGGCGAAACAAAACAAAAAATCAAAACCAAAGGCAACCTTTTTGTTTTTCAGTCATTAAGCACAGGTGTGTACATAGCCCATAAATAGATATACAGGATATTTTAAATATTAATATGTCATGGGAAGAGCAATTAGAAAAAAATGCCTAATAAGGCTCATTGGGGGAAGGTAATGAATAACTAGGTTAATTTGTCTCCTTAGAAATATCTGTCTTTAACAAAAGACTTTGATACTGCTTTTGTTCAGTTACAGTCAATAGCAGGAATAATGTAATTCTTGGATGCTGTCTAATGCGTCATCTCTTTATCCTCTCTCCACCTTCACTAGATAGTAAATGCCATGATCCAAGTTTGTACTCTGCTCTATTCCCTGATAGTTCCATTCTCCTCTGGTCTCGGGGACAACTGAATTTATTCCCAACAGATATTTGGGGCCTCCCCACCCCTGACCCGCTGCTCTCACTGACCTCCACGCCTTCACTTCTCTGCAGTGGGAGAAGAAGTGACTGTCTACAGGTTGGAGGAGAGTTCCCCTTTGAACCTTGACAAAAGCATGTCCTCTTGGTCCCAGCATGGGAGAGCTGCGATGATCCAGGTGCTATCTCAAGAGGAGATAGATGGAGGCCTCCGCAAAGCCATGAGAGTCATCAGCACTTGGTCTGAAGATGATGTTCTTAAACCAGGACAGGTTTTCATCGTGAAGTCCTTTCTCCCCGAGGTGGTGCAGACTTGGCATGAAATCTTCCAGGAGAGTACGGTGCTTCATCTCTGCCTCCGGGTAAGCCAGGAACTCAGAGACCCAGAGCTCAAACAGACAGGTCCAAGACAGGAGATTTGGCTACATGTTTATCCAAGACCGTCATCTTTAATTATGATTCGAAGGCAGCAGTTTATGTTATTTTTGTTCTGCAGAACCTATGGTTTTGGGGTAGGAGTGTTGGAAGCCACATAAAGTTAAAATTAACTACGTGAAGGCAGCCTTTAGTAATTCCATGATCATTAATTGTTAAGTATGTGTTACTCAGCCAGGATTTTGATTGGTGCTCTTCACTTCGTAGGAAATTCAACAACAAAGAGCTGCTCAGAAACTAATATATACCTTCAATCAAGTGAAACCACAAACTATTCCTTACACCCCAAGGTAAGGAAATCTTGGCATTCTGGCCTTGCATTTTAAGTAGAAATTCCTATTAAACTTTCTCAGCCCATTAGTCATGAGGAATATAAGACCAATGGGAAAGTTACTGATGACCTTGGGGTTCTTCCATAGTTATAGGGACTGGTAAAAAGATAATTAGATGACCCAGAGGTACCTTGGCTTAAATCACTGAACTGATGTGATTGCAAAAAGCTCAGGCAGATGCTATTATGGATATTTCAATTTTGCCAAACAGACCTTGGGAGAGAATATTCTGGCAGAGAATATTTTTACCCCCCCATTAGTATTTTAAAGAAATCGGGAACTTTGTAAGAATGAATTCTTCTTTTTTCATTTGGGTTTCTCCATACATGTGTTCATTTATCAAGGCAGATCCGTACATGCGCTTAAGACAGAAGAAGCTCTATTGTTTTATTTACAAGCAACTTTACAGAGCATGGCAAGAAAAACAGGGCCCAGTATGCATAAAAGAGTTAGAACGTTTTCTTCAAGAGAAGGGGACGGGGGAGTAAGCATGGGAAAAACTCTTCCTCCATGTTTACTCCTTCTCATAGGAAGGGCAAATGCATCAGGGAAGCATAGGGTCAGAGTTAGGTGGTCTCTCTTGTTGCTGACTGTTCTGAAAGGGAAGTCCCACATTTCCTGTCTTGCGAAGGATCAATGGCCTCTGTTTCACTCAAGGTTCCTGGAGGTTTTCTTAATCTACTGCCATTCAGCTAACCAGTGGTTGACCATTGAGAAGTATATGACGGGGGAGTTCCGGAAGTACAACAACAACAGTGGAGATGAAATTGCCCCCAGCAATACCCTGGAAGAGCTGATGTTGGCTTTCTCTCACTGGACCTATGAGTATACGAGGGGAGAGCTGCTGGTTTTAGATTTGCAAGGTAATTGGTGACATAGGACTTGACACAAACATGAGGCAGAGTTCAAGGAGATCTTGCAAGAACCAGGATGGCAATGTTTAGAGTTGTCTGTTTTGCTTTGGAGGGAGGTGGAGACATTGCATGCGGAGACATTGTACACTGATGATCACGAGTACCTGCTGTGTTGTTTCCTTCTCAGCTGAGGGGGAAATATAGACAGATGATTCAAGTTTAAAAACATCTAAAATGTTCAACTACATGGAGAGTGATTTTTGTATCAATTTGCTTTTTGCTTTCTGGCCTTGCCTTAATCTTATGTTCACAATAAAACTTAGGCATACATATATACATGTTGGAAAGTTTAAGCTCTGGATATTGCCTGTGGTTTTGAGTTTATTGCCTTAACCATTTACAATTTAACTGGCCCTCTTTGCTGTGTCCCTTGATATGACAGTCTGTGAAAGTACACATTCTGTCTGTGAGAGAATGAAAGCCTTGGATCAGCACATCTGCCCACTACTGGTACACCTACCATGTGACTTATAATCCTGAAGCACAGAGTATCTCCAGCAGGGTTTCCTTGCAGGGACAGAACAAAATATGTATTAAGGTTAAAGTTTAGTCCTTGAGCTCACTGACTGGCTTTGGTTTTAAATAAAGGATTTAGCCCAGCAACTTTCATAGAAGTTATTTCATTTAATCCCAGAAACAGCACCTTGAAGTAGATACTTGGAGAATTTAGGTCTGGAAAATTTAACTAATCTGCCCAGGGGTGTACAGCTACTTAACATAGAGCCAGGAGACAGACATAAACTGGTTTGGCTAGCTGTGTTTTTTTCTTTTCACCATACTGTCTTTCATTTCTATAAGAGTTTCATACATAGAGGACATAACCATCTTATGGCTCATTTAAACAGCTTGGCCTTTTTTCTTGTCCTCTCTGACTCGCTCAACTCTCTGATTCTGGGATTCTACTCCAAAGGCTTGGAGGCTAGGGAATGTTGAGGTAACAGGTAGTCTTGGGGCATCAAGGGCAATGTCCAGGAAGATTCAAAATCACTTTGAAATTTGTCATATGCTCAAGGATATGCACTGTCTGTACTTTTAAAACTACATGTACATACTATGTCCTTTGAGATTTCCGTTGTTCACAGGGTTGGGTTATGTTTCTAAACCTCAAACACAATATTTTAGGAGGCAGTATAAACAAATTTAAATCAACCTATATGATTCAGCTTTTTCAGTCAGCAAAGACTGGATCCATATCAGCCCTGAGTGTGGCTGCTGAAGGCATCTGTTTTTGTAGCTGCAATTGGGGAAAGGCTGATTGCTTTCATGTGTACTTGACTGCTTGTGCTTTCAGTTTGGGGTTGAGTTGTTTAAAAAGCGAAAAATGGAGATGAAAAAATAACCAAAGAAAAACGTTAAGGAATTAATGATGACTCTTTAGTGTGTTTTGTATTCCACTTGAATAGGTTTTTGTTTAATGATGTTTATGTTTTGGGATTTTTATGTCTCTTAGTAATCCACAGTGACATTAAACAGAACAAATGCTGCATTAAGAGTCTTGAGGGAAAAAGGGAATGAACTTTATTCTTTTTCTGAGCAATTATGTGGATTGCAGAAATAGGCTACTCAAAATAAACTATGTCAAAACATTGACCTTCAAAGAAGGGAAAAGTGGACATGATAGAATGAACATGGTGAAATTTGAGGTACTTATCAGAGAGGTTTGGCTAGTTGGTCCTGAATTTATGATAAAACATGAATCTTATAATAATAATTATGAGCAGTTACACTACCACTAGCCCTAGCAGTTAACATTTACTAATTACAGAGGTACCTTGGTTTATTAACTTAATTCTTTCCATGATTCTGGTTGCAGGATTCATTCCACTTGAAAAGAATTGATATTGTGAACCAAGGTACCACTGTATTTATTTTGTGCCAGACATTTGGCTAAAGGATTGTGTTCATTATCATATTTAATCCAAAATCAGGTTGGAAAGAAAAATGGAAACATGGGCGGTATTAAAAAAAAAAATCTCTTAATGGGTTTAGGTTCCGTTTTTGTTGTATTTAATTCATTTGTATTTGAGCTCGTTGGAGAGGTGATGTGCTTCACCCACGTGGTGGGCATGGAGGTGGAGAGGTAGCAGCCCTTCGGAAGAGGAGCTTCAGACTTGCAAGCCTGGGGTCTGATTTCTGGCTTCTCCAGAAGAAGCTGCGTGACCTTGAATTCCATTTCTCTCATTTTTATGTGAAAATAACATTGTGCACTCAAGACATTAGGTTTAAAAAGCTGAAGAGAGACAAGTTTTTTGTTCTTTTTGAATATAGGTAGCCCTAGTAAACGTTATTTATTGCTGTGTTAGTATGAATCTCTGTGTATTTCTTTAAAATGGAGGTCAGTCTTCAAGGGTGGGAGTCCACCCTCCTTGTGTGGTCCTGCGGAGAGACCCCAGCTCGGGCCTCTGCTCCCTCCTGCTTTCATGGGAAGAAGGACTGAGGAAAACTCAGACAGACTTTTTTTCAGTCCCTTCTTCTCTCTTTGTTTTCTTCCAAGAAGATGCCAGTCATTAACCCAGGAACTACCACACCAGGCCAGGAAGCTAAGGAGTGGCGTGACCAATTTCCCATCACTTGTAATTACATTGAAGTTTTCCTGTCTTTTTCCACTTAAAAAAATCTTACATGTGATGGCCTGAATCATCATTATTATGCTTGAAATCCAACATTTAATTTTCCCAGAAATGGAAATTAAAAACAATTGTATTTTAAATTATAGTGGCGTGTAACATTTCTTTTAAGCCCGTATTTTTCAGAGAACTTTTTGCAGATACAGTATTTTGTATTCACAAAGCAGTTTCCAGGATAAATCATCATTAGGATCCACTTCTTCGTCATGAATTTCACTGCTATGAAGAAGGTGACTTCTTTGCACAGATGTAGAAGTTCTTTGATGGATCCAAAGTTGAATAAGAACAAAATGTAAATCTGAATGTTTTCATATTGTCTGCACATGAGCACTTACTCAGCGCTGGTAGAGAGACATCTTGGAGACTTTTCGATGTCAAAGTGTTCCATTTCCCTTCCATCCCCCCATCTTTTCCAGGAGACTGTGTGGACAGGAGGGTCTCTGGGGTTAGTTTTCCAGATGCTGGCGGTGGTGCTGTGGTATAATTTTTCCCCCAGTTTTTATGAGTAGATATTTGTGAGTGTTGATGTTACAGTACTGTGGCTCCTTTGGATCTCCCTCCCTCCCTCTCTCTCTCTCTGCCCCCCTCCAGAAGGCCCTTCTTCCATTTGAGGGAGCCAGAATGAGTATTTAAGCTTTGAACTGTTAGATGTGGTTTGTGTGTATTCTTTACTCTCCTCCTCTTCCTTTTTTTTTTTTTTGAGGCAGGGTCTCACTATGTAGTTGAGACTGACCTGGGACTCACTATTTAGCCCAGACTGGTCTTGAACTCACAGAGATCCTCCTGTCTCAGCTTCCCAAGTGCTGGGATTACAGGTGTGCACCACCACGCCTGGCTTCCTCTTCCTTTTCTTTCTCCTGTTTCTCCTTCTCTTTTTTTTTTTTCCTTCAGAACTGGGGATCAAATCCAGGGCCTCACACAGGCAAGTGTTTTGCAACTGGGCTACACCCCTAACTTTCATTCTTATAAGAACTTTAGGGAAATAAGATAAACAGAAAAACAATTTTACAGTAGTAGGAAAATAAAATTTCACTTCACAAGAGTCCTTTGATAGAATAAAGATAACAAAACTGGCAGTCACCATTTCTTAATTCTCTATGGTCACTTTTCTAAGCTCTGCGTGTGTGTGTGTGTGTGTGTGTGTGTGTAATAACTCATTTAATCTTCACAGTAGTGCTATAAGATAAGGCTCATTATGTCCCTCACTTCCAGATGGCAAAACTGGGTTTCAGAGAGGTTAAGGAAACTATTCAGATCACACCTAGAAAGTGATGGATCTATGAGTGGAAACTTTATCCTTTGACTTCTGTGTCTCTACTTAAAATAAACAGGAACTGATGTGATTTTCATAGACCTCCCCCCCGCCGAAAAACTTGTCTTTTCCCAATTATCACTTCCTTAGCTGCTGTATATATTCATAGCTTAAATGTACTGTGTACTTTTCTAATCCATTACCATAAAGCTCTCATTATTGCTGTAAATTGCACACTTAAAGTTAGGTCTATGATTCAACAAGTTAAGGATTTGTAGTCATCATTCTGTCTAAAGATAGTATTGGGGATATCCTTCTGTCTGTTGGCCTGTTTATTTGCTTGATGGTTAGAAAGGCAGGGTCCCTCTAAGCTGATCCTTTTTACATTTGTAATGAGAATTCAGCCTGCTCCTTTGACTTCGGGAGAGCAAAGCATTTTTAAATATTACAGTTATCCTAAGATGTTGTCTCATTGTAGTTTTGATTTGCATTTCTCTAGTAATTAGTGATGCTGAGCATCTTTCCAAGAGCTTATTGGTAATTTGTATATCTTCCTTGGAGAAATGTCTAAGGCAGTTGGGTTGTTTGGGTTACTGCTGTTCAGTTTTAGGAATTCTGTATAAATTCAAGATTTTAATCCTTTTCTGGATATATGGTTTGCTAATATTTTCTCTCATTCTATGAGTTTTTTTTTTAAAAAAAAATCTCTTAATGGCTTTTGATGCAAAAAAACTTTTAAACTTTTAAGATATCCAGTTTATTTATTTTTTTCTCTTGTTGGTTATGTACTTGGTGGCTGAGCATGTTCTGTGGACCTTGCTTGTGATATATTTAGCTTTGTTTTTTCTTTCCCTATTCAAAACCAGTGTGAAGAATTTCTAAGCCAAGAATTAGTAAAGCATTTGTGAGTAGAATTCAAGAGAGTCTGTGGATTTTGATGATAAATTATACTTTGTTTTAACCAGCCTGTAACTTAAGCTCATCATTTTCTTCAATTATGACAGATTATAAACCTTGGTGATATTAGTAATGTCTGTGACTGTTTGTAATAGATATTACAGGTATTAATATAGCACATTGGAATGTTGGCAGATACCTCAAAATACTGTTTATGTTTGTCACTTATTGGATGTTACAGTGATTAAGAGACCTGGGCTAGATCCTGTTATTTAATGTGTTAATGAGAAAGCATATGTATTACAATGTAACACTTTAAAAAGTATCTTTATGTAACTGCATTTCAATATCATTGATTTTATATATATATATATATAT